ATGAAATATGACCCATAATAAGACCACAGCAGTGACAGTTTCACCTATGACGTAATTTCACAGGGGTAGGCCCAAAGGCATCATAAAACATTCCATGTTAGTGTAACAAGAATAAGGAGTCACCAGAGTCATGTTTTTTCATAAAAGAATGTGTTTTAAATAATGTTGCTGCAATAAAGAAAGAACAAGTGGAATGTCTTGGGAATTCAAACAAATGCTTTAGTACTTTCAGACACCTTACAGAAAACCTTGATCACACTTTATTTGATTTTTGCAAGCAAACTGCTAATTCCAAACAGAAAAATCACTTTGGCTACTTTAAAACTGCGTATGGCATCTTCAGTTATCTGTGTCAAGAACCAAAGAAAATATTTATCTTACATCCCATCTTCACATCCAAAGCTGTTTGGATCAGGCTCTCAACAAACTAAATTCCTTTAAGATAAAAAATGAAATTAGTCATGAGATTCAAGGTTGGCACAGTCACCATCCACCTTTGGGGACATATTACCTACTGATAGACAAGCAGAAAAATCAAACAAGCAATGTGAATTGACGATGTAGATTTACTTGATCTCAATGCTTCTGATGTCAGCATCTTGACCAAAGCCAATGACAGAGTACTTCCTTGCACCCATGCGGTTGGGAAAACAGAATGTTGAGCCATTTGGTAAAGTCACCACAAACTCTGAAGGGGTGAATTTAATGGCGATCTAAAAAGACATTTTGAGTGAAGAGAAACAGAGAGACAAATTATAGATTGATTGTAATACACACACACACACACACACACACACACACGTATATATATGTATATGTATATATGTATATGTATGTATATATGTATGTGTATATATATATATATATATATATACACACTTTCATACCTGAAACTCCTTTCCCTCACAGAAAGGAAAGCAATCCTCATGTTGCTCCTTACACCAATTGCCTGCCTCCAAAGAATTGCAGACGATTTTATTTGTCTGTCCCTTTGCATTAAAGCGAGGGTTGAAATGAAATGCAATTCTGTCCACGCTGGGGCCAATATCCAGCGTGAATCTGCAATGTACAGACACACAAATATTTATTACATCTTATATTCCTTTTAGCATGCGTAGGAAGGACATAGGGCTGAAATAAACTGAAATACAGATATAGCATTTTTACACACATTTGCAAATAATTTTGCTACAATAGATTTAAGGGACCATTCACCCCATAATCAAATTCTTAGGGCAATTTTAAAACAGAAATAAGCACAAGAAGTTTAAAACATCATGTAACTTAAATGAATCGCTAATGAAATTCTCATATTGTATTAAACACAAAAATGATATGTTTCATAGCTCTACTTTGAGCTTCAGCTGTCTTAAGGATAGTTCACACCAAAATCAAATGTACACATTTATCTTATGACCTTAGGATCAAGTTATAATTTTTGTGCCAGCTGGACAGAATAAAAAATATATGAGAGATATGTGCAAGAATTTTGGGAATAGAAGTTGAAAACACAGTAACTATTATCTTTTATGCATTAAAATATTTAATTGTATTTCCCAACTTTACTATCATAGAATGATGTGCAAAATCATAATACAGTTTATCTTTAATCAGTATTTACTCTTTGGGATCTGGTTTGATCACGCCAACAAGAGTCAGGGTTTGTCCAACCTTGAAAGTCATGTTCTTTATTGTCATCCACTGTGAAGAAAACAAAGAAACATTTGGTGATGCAGCACTGGCCAGTGTTGTTTTCTAAATGAGACTGCAGTAATAATTGGCCCTAATAAAGGTCAGTAGTATTACTCAACAACAATGCATTGTATGACCCATATACAATGATGTGAATAGTTTGACTATCAAAGCTTATCAAAACTTCCAAAATCTCAATAAAACTAAAAGCAAACGTCTGATTCGGTTGAATCCGTGTTAAATTATGGTTTAAGACTGTCCTTATTGGTCATGCAACACAAAGAGAAAATAGTCATATTACTTACTTCCACCATCTTGGTAGATGTACAAGGTTAAGTACAGGAGAGAATAAATGAGTGCTGCAGGGTTTTGTCTCTCTGCACCCCAGAAAGCTGCATTATATAGAGTGTGGGAGGAGCCTTCAACCTGAGTGATATGTGAAACAGCCAATAGGATTGTGCCAGTGCTAAACACCCACTACCTTACGCATAGTGAAATTATAGACCATAAATAACTACTTTAGAAGTTAAAAAATGTTTGCATATGTTGGTGGTTAACATCCCACTGTTACACTGTTTGTTTGAAACGCCTCCAAAAGACTGTCTGAACTTGAGTAAACCTACAATTCTCCTTCTTAGATCTTCACTGACTCTTTTGGACTTTTCTATTGTTCTGAGGGGTTAAAATGGGACTTGACAAAAATTACAAAAATATCTATTCAGAGCTCCAGGATATTTTTTTTGTGTAACGGTTGTGATTAGCTGACCTGTGTTGCTGCTGCTTTGAAGTTTACTGCTCTTTAGTGATTTGCACAACTAAATTCAACAAGGTGTAAGCAGATGCTTCCTAATGCACAATTTCCATAAACTACTGTTTATATTGTCTTTATCATATAGAGTATAAAGTTGGTATAAAAATTGAATGCAGTGAATGAGTCAAAGTATCACCAACATAAGTTCTGCACATGATGTAATAGTGACCATGAATGCACCGTCACTGTGCACCAGTGCAACACACACACACACACACACTCTCACACAAATTATAAAAGGCCTAAGGTTCAAGAAGCCAAAATGCGATTCAGCCTTTGCTCAACTACTGTGAAACAGAGAAGGTGTGACAGAAATCATAGGGAAATGTTAGCATGTGCTTATCTTACTGTCTAATAGGTAACTTTTATGCATATGTCTTCTCATCTACTGTCACTGCACTCTATTTAAAAAAGGATAAATGATACAAGGTCTTTATTTTAATTTGCTGGGTTTATCAAGCCAATGAGGTCAGAATGCAGTTCAATTTCTGCTCAGTTCTGATACTGGGAACACATAGCAGAAATGAAATAGGGAAATGTTGGCATGTGCTTATCTTGCTAACAGATAACTTTCATATTTATGCATGCCTATGCAGATGAGAAGGAAAAAGAAGTAATTATCGTACATATATGCTGTATGGTGAACATTTTGACCTTAAAAGATCAAATATTCATCATTAAAATAATAAATGTTTAAAAGTGAATACAAACATCTGTTTCAATTAAAGCACAGTTCAATTATAGACTAAGCTTGCATCAGCTATCAGTGTTTAAGTTATGTATTAAGAATGTCTATGAAACACAGACAAGTAAAAGTAATATTAATAGTAATACAGAGCAAGAAAAATGACCTTGACAAAACCACGGGGCAGCTAAAAACAGGAAGGTTTCTGGAAATGATTTTAAATAATCATTTGTTGGAAAGTATACAGAGTTTAAAGAATGACATGAAGTCTTGAAGCCTTGAGATGATTATTCCCATTGTTACCATCTTGGCTGTTTTGCTAAAATGGTTGGAGGGGAGAAGAATTTGAGGGGAATTTACACTAAGCAAAGTTGATCTGAGCACCCACTGTCCTCCAGTGATAACACTAAGGTACTTCAATAATCGACATTCTGCAAAAACCTTTTACTACTACTTCCAATAAAGAAAAAGAGACAACTATTATTACACTGTTATAACAAAATGTGATACAGAAAATAATCACATATGACTTTATTTTAAAAGTGGCAATTTGTTCTCACGTCATTCAAAAAGCAATCAACATAACTAAGTAAATAAATATCCTACTCTTCTTGGGTAAATGCAATAATATCAGAGTATGTGTGGGGATATTTCACCAGTAATAATTACCTAGTAGCTTCAAAAGCAGAAGTCAACAATATTGCTCAGCATTTCTTCATAAATAGCAGTAATCAACTCACCTGACATTTAAAATATTTAAGTTTCCTTTTCAACGGTTTAAAGGTTCAAAACATTTAAAACTGTACCCAATCCAGGTTCTCAGAAACAAAATCTGGTGTAAACCAAAAGAAGTTTACTTAAAAAAAAAAGGATAATTTTTCAAAAAGAATTATTGAATCCCATTCATTATGTATATGTACCACCAGCAGCTGGAGTCATTTTATTGAAAGCTTTCTCCACATTCTGAGACTACAGTGAAGTAAAGTGCAAAGTTGCCATTAAAATGACATCAAACCATTTTTAGTGTTTTCTATTCCAAGCGTTGATTGATATTGCATTAATAATTATAATTATCAATTGTAGTTGAGGAAGTATTATATATAATATAAGTATTATAATTACAGCAGTGAGGTGAGTGTTTAATGGTTGTAGTGGTTATTAATGGTTATGTCCTGACAGTCCCACAATTTCTTGCCATTTTCGCATTCATTAAAATGAATGACTGTTTCATTTCATGTCTGTATTGTGTTAATTTCTTATATAAATCTGTGCACGATGTTGTGTAGATATTTTTCTCCAAAAATAAATCCTAATAAATAATAATAATTCCAAAATCCTACTCTGAAAAACATTAATTAAGGATTAACAGTTCATGTATAGACTAGTAGATTAGTTATATGTGATAAATTAATCTATGGTATAAACACTTCTCATAAGTTAAAGTGGACCCAAAACTGTGAAGGTATGAAATATGACTTGTATGTAAAAGGTCAAATCACAGAGTGGGGCAGTGCCTGTGTTTCACTGGGAAAGGATGAAAGACATTGTAAAACAAGTATAAGGAGTCACCAGAGTCATGTTTTTTTTTCATAGTAGAACATGCTTTATTGATGCTTTTGCAAGAAAGAATTGAAAAGTAAAAAGTCTTGGAAAATACAAATAGTGAATAGTGAAGCATTTAAAGGCACATTAAAGGAAACTTGATGATAGTTTACTGTATATGATTCTTGCAAGCAAAAAACTACAAATCCAAACCAAAAAAATCCCCTGGACTACTTTAAAACTGCACAGTTCCATAACAGGATGTTGAGTCATCTGTGTGCAGAGCTAAAAATCTGCTGCCAGACAAACAGAAAAATAAAACAAGAATTTCAATTCAGCAATTCAAGGGTGGATGTCGTTTTACTTGATCTCAATGCTTCTGATGACAGCATCCCCATGAAAGCCCATAACAGAGTATTTCTCTGCACCCATGCGATTGGGAAAACAGAACGTTGAGCCATTTGGTAAAGTCACCACAAACTTTGAACAAGTGAACTGAATGGAGATCTAAAAAGACATTTTGAGTGAGAGAAACAGAGAGACGAAGGATGTGAACACTGTAATATAGCTCAGAAAAAGGTCAAATAATGACGTTTTTAATGTAATCAAAGATACCAACAGAGATTGCATGAAAGACGAAGGCTACAATACGGACAAACACACTCTCACACCTTGAATTCCTTTCCTGGGCTGAAAGGAAAGCTTTTCTCATGTTGCTCCTGATCCCAATTGCCTCTCTCAAAAGAGTTGCAGACAATTATATTTATGTGTCTGCTGTCATCAAAACGAGGGTTGAAATGAAATGCAATTCTGTCCTCGCTCTCACCAATATTCACAGCAAACCTGCAATGAGAGAAAGCTATTACATATCACATTATACAGTATTTAGGATCAGAAAATATGGGGCTGAAATGGACTGACATAGAGATACAAAATTATCGGCACAGATTTGCAAATAATTTTGCTACAATAATTGCCCCAAGATAGTAAATCTTAATAAAATGGTGACAGAGTGTGGTTACCTAGCTTTAAGGGAAAGTTCACCCCCAAATAAAAATTCTCATTTGCATATTTCATATCAGTACCTTTCAAACTTCAGTTACCTTAACCTCCTAAGACCCAAACTCTTTCATGGCATGCATTTTTAATTTCTCTTTTCTATTTGGGCTGACTGGGACCTGATGAATGAAAAAAAAATTACCTGTTTTTTTTTTTTTTTACCTAAGTTTTGTTTCTGAGAAAAATGAGACCCACATGAGAGGACATTCGTTTTAAATTCAATAGAACAGTGGCACAGTCCTCGTAAGTGGATATCAGGCCCTTGTAGAGCAAAATTTAATTTAATCACCCAAAATTTGATGTCCACATATGTGGACAAAAGATCCTAGGAGGTTAAAGAGATACTTTACAAAATCAAATTTTCTAATTTTTCTTCTTACCTGGAGATTTAGTTATCATTTTTGTGCAACTTTTCTTTGTATAATAAGATGTACATTTGTGGAATTTTGATTGAAAGTACAATTACTCTTGTTACTCCAAAAAAAGTCTCCAAAAGCTTTTTATTATAAATATATTTTATTTTTCAACTTTACTATGACTTACTCACTAATTTAAAAATCCTAATACATCTTATCCTTAATCAGTATTTACCTTTTGGGATCAGATTTGATGACTCCAACAACAGTCAGGGTTTGTTCGACCTTGAAGGTCATGTTCTTTATTATCATATCCTGTACAGATAAAGACAGGGATTTTTGGTGATACTGCACTGGACAGTGCTGTTTACTGGCTGAAGCTGAAATAATAAACGACTCCCAAAAGAGTCAAAAACATTACAAAATAGTAATGCACCCATAATAAATAATGCCCTGCATCAACAGTCTGTAGAGGAAAAAATAACAATTAAGAAATGATTAATGCACATATATGGTCTGTGATGAATATTTCAATGATAAAAGGCCATCAAATAATCCAAAATGTCAGAATTATTAAAAAACAACAAACCTAAAAGCATACTGCTTATACTTTAGTTTAAGCATAACTGTGCTGATTTAGTTACATCAACCTGGTAAAGAATAAGCTTGTACCATCTGCTTAAGACTGTATATATTTACTTACCTTCATCATCTTGGCATATGTAGTAGGTTAAGTACAGCTGAGAAGAAATGAGAGTTCTGCAGTCTCTCTGCACCCAGGAAGACTGCATTATATAGAGTGTGGGAGGAGCCTTCAATCTGAATGACATTTCAAACAGGCAATATTACTCTGCAATTGCTTAAGACCCACTATTTGACTCATTGTCAAATTATAGACCATAAATAAATAATTAGTAGTTAACAAATACTTGCAGATGTTGGTGGAGATCAGTTGTTAACATCACACTGTTACATTGTAACCTGTATTTGTTCTTTGGACTTTCCCATTGTTTGAAATGTCTCCAAGAGACCTTCTCAACTTGAACAAGCCAGTGTGTATCACATAAAATCCCAAATAAATTCAAACTTGTGCATCCCATTCTTATTTAGAAAGTCATTAA